GTTTTACTTAAGAGTCTAATCCGGTAGGTTTGCAAATCATACTATTAATGTGTAATCTAAGCTCTTTCCAATGTATCCACGAATAATCCTGGAACAATATTGCTTGTATTCCTGTCAAAGAACAGGTTTTGTAATCTTTAAAAGAAATGGAAATTTATATAATAAAGTTTCAAGTAAAGCATGTATGTGCCTTTTATCAATTAGTTATATGACTAGAACTTTATAACGTAAAAATTTCTCAATTGGAAGCTGGGCGGTAGCACACACCTTTAATCCCAGCACTCAGGAAGCAGAGGCAGTCGGATCTCTGTGAGTTCCATGAAAGGCTCCAAAAAGCAGGAAGGGAGAGAGGGAGGGAGGGAAGGAGGGGGGAGAGAGAAAAAGAGAAAGAAAATTCTTTCGGAGAAGTCCAAAACTACCAGACTTGGCTCAAAAACTTCTCTTTTCTCACCTTAATTCTCCTTTGGATTTCCTTTGCTATCCATCATGAAACTTGTAACCTCAGAGTTGATCACCCAAACTTCTCTCAGAGGCATCCTTCCTTTTGCACTGTACCCGTTGAGCAAAACTCCAGCATTTGCTATTTGGTTAATTGTAGTTATACATTTCTGGATGCTGTATGAAATCATACAATTATGCAAGTGGTACTGCAAGTTCCTGTTTTCTAATTGCACTTAAATCCTTATAGTATTTGTCTATAATTTTTCTTTACTGAAATCCATTCTCCCGTTATTTTTTATCTTTTTTATATATTTATTTTTTTCTTATTTTACATTATCAATCCCAGTTTCCTCTTCCTCCCTCCCTCCCATTCCCCCCTCCACTCCATAGGGAGGGTGATGCCTTCCAGGAGGAATTATCAAAATCTGTCAAGTCATTTAGAGGAGAGACTAGGCCCTCCCCGCTGCCTCTAGGTTAAGGGAGTATCTCTTCATGGGGAATATGCTCCCAAAGTCCTTTCCTGCACCGGGGATACATCCTGGTTCCACTGTCAGAGGTCCCTTAACTGAGAACCACATTCAAGGAGTCTAAGTTGGTCCAGTGCTAGTTTCCCAGCTATTGGTCTGGGGGGTCCAAGAGCTCCCCCTTGTTCAGGTCAGCTGTCTCTGTGGGTTTCTGTAGCCTGATCTTGACCCCTTTTCTTATCACTCCTCCCTCTCTGCAACTGGATTCCAGGAGTCTGGTTCAGCATTTAGCTGTGGGTGTCTGATTGTTTCCCTCAGCTACTAGATGAGGGCTAGATAAGTTAGTTATCAATCTCATCAGGAAAGGGCATTTATGGTAGCCTTTCCACTGTTACTCAGATTGTTAGTTGGGGTCATCCTTGTAGGTCTCTGAACTTTTTTATAGAGTCAGGTTTCTCTTCAAACCTATAATGGCTCCCTCTATTATTCTCTCTCTCTCTCTCTCTCTCTCTCTCTGTCTCTGTCTCTCTCTGTTTTTGTTTTGTTTTGCTCTTATCTATTCATCCCCCGACTCAATCTTCCTACTCCCACATGTTCTCCTCTCCTAGGCTCAGAACCAAAACTACTTTTTATCTGTTAAGGAAAAAAAAAGGACATGTTAGGGAGGGTTAGAGGTGTTTTAGTTTACTTTGGTTTTGTATTTTAGAAACAAAATATCATTCTGTGACTTTGGATTGTCTACAACTAAATTGTTCTCAAATTTGTGGCAGTGGCCCTGCTGCCACTTCTGAAGTACTGGCATTATAGGCATGTACCACCAAACTCTGCTCCCATTTCTTTTCAAAAAATTGTTTGAGATACGAGGATTAAGACAGGGTATCTCTGAAACAGACCTGGCTGTCCTGGAACTCACTCTGTAGACCAATCTGGCCTTGAACTCACAGAGATCTGCCTGCCTCTGCCTCCTGAGTGCTGGGAGTAAAGGCGTTCACCACCGCCGCCTGGCCCACACAGCCATTCTTAAAACAATATTTAAAACCTATTAAGTGTTCCAAGTGATCTGGTTTCCTTACCTCTCTAATCTTGGTCTTCTCTCCCAAACTGCTCCCTGGCTTGCTGGATTCTTTATCATACCAACTGTTCTAGCTTGCTATCTCTTATGATAAATGTCATGACCAAAAGCAACTTGGGGAGGGAAGGGTTTATTTGGCTTAAATGTACTTGTCACAGTCACCATAGAAGGGAGTCGGGGCAGGAACTGAAGCCAAGACCATGCAAGAATACTGCTTACTGGCTTGCTCAGCTTCTTATAAGTCCAAGATCACCTGCCCAAGTGGCACAACCCACAGTGAGCTATATCGTCCCACATCAATCATTGATCAAAAGATCACACAAACATGCCCATAGGCCAGTCTGATGAAGGTAATTCCTCAGTTAAGATTATCCCCTCCCTGGTAGCCAACTTATACCCAGTTGACAAAGACTAAGCAGCATACTTCTTGACCAGAGCAAGTATAGATACTACAATGGGGCCCTTGCTTTTCCTGTTTTCTCTGCCTACATATTTCTGACCAGATGTTCACATGATTGACCTCTTCCTCAGTGACTTTGATGATGAGATGTAGGAAACTTGCTAAAGGAATAAAAAAACTGGTCGTCTAGGAGGCTTTACAAGAAGTACTTGACTTTTAAACATGTAGCTATACAATTGGGGTCTGATTATTTGCTTACTAGGCATAATTGCTAAACTAATATATTGCATTAATGTCTGTGATGAGAAAACAGGCTTACAAAGATGATGTAACTAAGATCACAGAATAAGTTTTGTAGAATCACATATAACTCAAGTCTCTATACCAGAGCCCAGTCTTAGAATCTTTTAGATTTTCAGCCATGCATGGTAGATCATTACTGCAATCTTAGTGCCATAGAGATGGAGGAAGCCTGGATGATGTAACCCAGTCTCAAAAAATAAGTTGCAACAAACTGCAAATGAAAAGAGAAAATCAGAACTTTTACTCCCTGTTGTTTTTTTCTCTTTTCTTTTTTCTTTTGAGATTGGGTTTGGTTTCACTGTATATGTAGATCAGGATGGTCTTAAACTCAGAGGTTCCTGCAACCTGTGTGCTGGGATTAAAGGTGTGTACTAGTATTCCCATGTTTTGTTTTATTTTGTTTCATTTGAGACAGGGTTTCTCTGTGTAACAGCCCTAACTGTTCTGGTACTTATTCTGTAGAACCCGCTGGCCTCAAACTCAGAGATTCTCCTGCCTCTGCCTCCCAGAGTGCTGGGATTAAAGGTGTGCGCCACTACCACCCTGTCACTTTTAATACTACTCTGAGAACTACATCTGTTTAGTTTCTCAGCCTCACTTCTATTCTTTTTTTTTTTTTTTTTTTTTTTTTTTTTCCTAATTGGATAATCCTTCACTGAGGGCAGGAGTTCCAGAACGTCTAACAATATTTCTGGTCTCAGTTGTCAACATCATCGATTCCTTCCTCCACTTTTGACAGGCAACCAGAACTGTCTACAGACACTATCAAATGTCCACAGTAGAGTGAAATACTGTATAATCTACTTTTAGATGATTATACCTCATTTATCTGTCATTAAGTCTCCTTCCCTATAGAAAGTGAAAATGCCAATGTTTCCCAAAAGGTTATTTAAAATAAACATATTTTAAATTTTTAAATATTATTACTGGAATGGGGGGTATGAGTGGTAATTAGAGGATACATATGTGTAGTTCTCTCCTCCCACCCTTATATGGGTTTCAGGGACTGAACTCATGTTGCCAAGCTTTCGTGGTAATTGCTCTTACCTACTGAGCCATCTTCCTAGCCTGAATAAGCCTGTTTTTAAGTGAAAGGATTTGCTCTGACTAGCTATGCAGTTATTCCTTTGCTGGGACTGCCAGAACAAAGAACCCGAGAATGGGTAATGGGCTGTTTAAACATCAGAAATGTACTTTCTCTTGGTTGTGTTGTTTTGTAATCAGGATCTCACTACATAGTCCAGGCTGTCCTGGAACTATGTATCCCAGCTTTAACCCAAACTTGCAGCAATCTTCCTGCCTCAGCCTCACATGTGCTAGAATTATAGATATGAACTACCAGGCTGCTACTTTTACTCGGTTTGGAAAGCTCCAACTCTAACATTAAAGTAGAGACTAGTCTGGTTTTTAATGAGGTCTCCATGGCTTACAGGTGGTTAGTGACTCCGGAAGTGTTCTTTAAGCCTCCTAATGCCTAGGTGCTAATTGCCTTCGGTTTTGTACTTGTTTTTGAGATAGGGTCTCACTCTGTAGCCCTGGCTAGCCTTTAAACTTCCTCTGTCTCCTCAAGCTGGGATTAAAGGCCTGTGTCACTATGCCTGACTTAATGTCATTTTCCAAGTCATACTGACTTGGTTTCAAGTCTAAGGATCTCATTTCAATATAGTCACTTCTTTAAAGACCTTACCCCCAAAAGCAGTCATATACAAAGGTATACTAAGTTAGAACTTTAGCGTGAATTTTGGGAGATCCAACCCCTAATATCAACTTTCTTCCATCCTTTTGTCCTGTATATGCTGAGCAACCTACTACTTGCAAACTTTCTGTTAAGTGTCGGCAATAAACAACAGACCTGGCTACAGTAAGTTAGGGAGGGCAGATTTATTTTTAAAGTACTACCAAAGTATCCTATTAAAGTTTGGAAAGGGAGGGCAGAAGGCTTTCCCCCCCCTTCCCCTCAGACTTTCCAGTGGCTGGGCCGATGAACAGGCCACATTAAAACTCAGCTAACTCTGAGGTTAATGAGTCAGCAGCTTGTCAAGCTAGGAACAGCAGATGGTGGGTAAGCCAGCATCCCTCACTATCTCAATTTCCCCTCCGCTCCTCCACTGTGACGCAGAGACCCAGCTGGCCCTTTCCGGACTCCAGAGCCTCGCTCCACCCACTGAGTGCCCTCCCCTGTCAGTGAGCCCCTCCCAAAAAGGCTTCTCCCTTGGCTCCCACCAGAAAGAAGGCTTCCTTTCAGCCACGCCTGCGCCATAGAGCTGAGGGAGGACGGGAGGCGGGCCCGGCGGGCGGGGGAGGAGGAGGGCGGAGAAAAGCACCGCCCGCAGCCGCGACGCCATTTGCCACTGGCAAGCGTGGGCGCAGGCGGCTTTCGGAAGCACCGGTGACCAACCTCTTCCGAGCACGCTTCTCGGCCTCCCGCACAGCCTTCGTCCCGCGCGTTTCTCAGCGTCGCCCCTCGGAGTCACCGCCGTTCCTGCTGCCATCCGGAGCACGGTCGCACACTCTGCCAGCTTGCCGCCATGCCCAAGAATAAAGGTAATGACGCCGGGACCGCGGCTTCGCTCCCCGCCGGCGCGTCTCTGGTCCAGCTCGCGGCCTCGAGGTCAGCCCAGGCCATACTGACCTTCCTGCCATCTTTCCTTGCCTCTTGTCTGGCAGCATTCTCTGCGTCCTACTTGGAGCTCGGCAGAAGCGCAAGGAAGTTACTCCTGGTTCCCAGTTTGGCCACATTGGGGTGGAGCCGACGCCATTTTTTGTAGGGCCTCCTGTGTAAGAATGTGGGCTTGTGCCCCTGATTCGCGCCACATTGACCGCGGCGCCAAAGGGACCCCTGGGAACACCTGCCTCGGGCTTCTTGGGCTTCTGGCACGTGGGGAGTTAAGCCCTGGGAGCGACTCTGAACTTTGAAAAGGAGTAATCCCTGCTTGCTTTCGTGCCCATCTGGCACCGCCTGCAAAGGCTTCTTTATGGACACTTACTTGATACTGTTGAAGCTGCTCCCAAGTAGCCAGTAGCCAGTAGCCAATACTTAGATGCATTTTTTTTTTCCGAGACAGTCTTATTGTAACAGCCTTGGCTGTCCTGGGACTCACTCTGTAGACCCAGGCTGGCCTTGAACGATATTCACACCTGCCTCTGCCTCCTAAGTGCTGGGATTAAAGCTGTGCGCCACCTCCTCCTATCTACTTTGATGCTTTTTAAAAGTTATCTCGAGAAAATTATTTTACTCCGTGGCTTTACGCGGCTTAACCCTACTTAGCCAAGTTTTCCACTTTTGCTTCAGATCATGTATTTGTTTTCATGGAAAAAAAATTAAATCCCATTCTGGGAACAATGTTCTTAAATAATCAGTCACGAGGTTACTTTTAATTTGGGATCTCCAAGATGAGGAGCCTAATCTAAGTAGAAGTACAGCATTCCTTAGGTCATTCTCATTTTTATAGTTACAGTATTTTGTGGTAATGTGTTTTTTGTAGGAACACATCTATCCTTAGCAGGACTCTGTCCCTGGGCTGAACTGGAGCTTACTCTACAACAGCCCAGACTAACATTGAACTTGGGATCCTCCTGTTTCAGCTTCCCAAGCTGCTGGAATTACAGGCTTGCCATACTTATTGTCCTTATAATTTCTCAAACATTGTGCAAGTAAAAATAGTAAAATACTCGTATTTCCTACAGAGGAGGAACACATTACCCAGTCCTTGGGCCAGTCAATGGTAGCTCATGCCTTTAATCCCAGAACTCAGGGGACTTTAGGGGGGCTGGTAGTATCTCTTGTGTTCCAGGACAGCCAAGGCTACACAAAGAAACCTGCCTCCAAAAGCCAAAATTATAAGATAAAATGAAGTTTTCCTTGTGCAGAAGAGATGTCTTCCTGGGAAAATTAGGTTCCCACACCCACATAGGGCAATTCATGACTGCCTGTAACTTCAGCTCTAGGAGATCCAGTGCCCTCTTCTGGCCCACTTGGGTACCCCAACATGCACACATGCAAGTCTTTGATAATTCATCCTTTGGGCCACCTCCCTTGAACCATGCCTGTTAGTGTTCTCTTTTCTAGAAGTTGGCTCCTGGGAGTCTACTTAATTACTCTTTGTACCTATCACTTCACATTAGCCCTCTGAATACTTGGTCACAGTTTTGTGAACAAACTGATTTGAGATAGACTTGCTATATGGCCCACTCTGACCTTGAATTCACTATCCCCACCCTGCTTCAGGGCCTCAAAAATCAAGGTTGCCAGGCTTTTTGTGCAGTGAGAATTTTTACTGATTGTCCTCAGAAAAGTATAATTATAGACACAATATATTCCAAGTTTTAAAATTCCTGTCCATAGACTTCCTTGTTCTGAAATGGCAACTGGATCATTTCAGTAGGTAAGGTATGTTATTCTCACCTTAATTCTAGTGACTAGATTTCCAGTTCCCCCATACTAGCTGTATGTGGGAAGGACAGGATTGGTGTCTGTCATAACCACATTGGCTTGATAGCACTTAGCCTAGAAGATGCTCAATAAATATTTGTTGAACTTACTCATCTCTCTTCTGGTGACTCCACCCATAGGTGAATAGTAGGTTCCCTTTGGTGCCAAGGAGACAAAACTTTCAGGCTAAATCACATCTAGTCACTAGCCTCGTATATTTGAGGAAAGCTCTTACCTGGGCTGTTTCTATGAAACACTTCTGTAGTTTTGAGAACTGTGCTTGAGCTTAGAAAGAAAGTGGGGTAAAAATAAAAGAATGGTTATTCAATTTATTGCTGTTTGGTCATATACTCAGGCTTGGTCTCACTCGTTTTCATTCGTTTTTGTTGTTTGTGACAGGGTCTCACTATGTACCTCTTAGCTGTCATGGAACTCACTATGTTGAACAGGCTGGCCTTGAACTCACAGAGATCCGCCTGCCTCTGCCTACCAAGTGCCAGTGTTAAAGATATGCACCAACATATCTGGCCTTCATTCTTTCAAAAGAGAATTTGAAGAGCATTTCATTTCATGGCAATAAAATAGAAAGAATGGCTGGGCAGTGGTGGTGGTGCACACACCTTTAATCCCAGTGCTCAGGAGGCAGAGGCTGGCAATCACTGAGTTCAAAGCCACCCTGATCTACAAGAACTAGTTCCAGAGCAGCCAGGGCTACACAGAGAAACCCTATCTCAAAACCGAAAGGTGGGGAGGAAGATTGTGATGCTTGAGATTACAGGCAAGCACCCATATACCTATCATACTGGTTTTATTTGCTGGGGAGGTTCAAGACAGGGTTTCTGTAATACAGCCCTGGCTGTCCTGGAACTAGTTCTGATAGCACACTATCTTTGAGATCACAGAGACCCATCCCCCTACCTCTGCCTTCTGAGTGCTAGGATTAAAAGTGTGGACCACCACACTTCTTTTTATTACTATATGATGTCCCGTTGCATAGTGCTACCATTTATATGCTTTCCCTTAAAAGATGTAGGGCTAGACAGGTGACTCATCACTAAGGGGTCTTCAGTTCAATTACCAGCAACCACATGGCAGCTTACAATTGTCTGCAACTCCATTTACAGGTCATCCAGTGCCCTTTTCCAGTGCCTCCTTTGGCACTGGACAGACTTGCCCGTGATGGACAGACATACATGCACATCAAACACCCATAAACATTAAATAAAATTTAAAGGAGGCTCTAGAGGCAATTAACACCTTGCTAAACTATCTCAGGTATGGTACATTTTAAAGACCAAGTTCAGAATCTTGAGCTGTCTTCTATCAGCATGAATCAATATGTTCTATTATAATAGCAATAACTTCATTTTTCTCTCTCGTGTCATCTTTTTACCAGGTCTTCTTTCGTAGGGGGGTCAGCTATGAGTAGGGCAAGGTGTTTTGGGGTTTTTTTTTTGTAATATTTATTAGGACCCAGTATGGTAGCTCACACTTGTAATACCAGCATTCAGGAGGCTGAGAGACATTATAAAGGTAGCCTAGACTATAGTGTGACACCCTATCCTTCTATCACAACTCCCCCCCCAAAAGGTTGGGGTCCATGTGGTTAAAATTTTGATGACAAAGTTCTCCAGAAGGGAGCCCTAATATGAGAGAGCTCTAGTAGGACAGAGAAGGATTAGGGCTGGATCTGGCACCCCAAGTTCATCAATTAAAATTTTGAGTGAGTTCTTTAACATCTGAACTTTAGTGAACTTACTGATCAACTGGGAATAAATGACTGTTAAATAGTAATCAAGTTGACTGTGACAAGTATGTGGGTGGCATTCTCAAATAGTAGTTACAGGCATGGTCATCTAACCATTCCTTAGGGCTGGTCCATGCCCAGCTGTAGATGGCCAACACAAAAGGAACTCAATGGCATCCTTGTCTTTGGAGGTTCTTTTATCAGATGTCCTGTCAGAGCTTTTTTGTTTGTTTGTTTGTGACAGGGTTTCTTTGTGTAGCTTTGTAGATCAGGGTGACCTCAACTCACAGAGATCCACCTGCCTCTGCCTCCCAAGTGCTGGATTAAAAGTGTATGCTACCACTGCCCGGCTCAGAGCTTTTGGTTTTTAAATACCTTACTCGACAGCTCCTTTGCTTATATAATATGGCTTCTGGTGTGGGTTTTTATGGGATTCCTGTGTGTGCGAATGATTCTGTGTCTCAGTGTCTATATGCATTTCTTTGGCTCTTGTTTGGCTTTGTCATTCCTATTTGTTTTTGATTTATCTGATTGTGTTTTATTATTCCTTAGATGCCTGTTCATTTTCTCATGAGACACAGAAAGGGGGTAGCTTCAGATAGGAGGGGAAGTGGGGAAGAACTGGGAGATGGGGGAGACCAGAATATATTAAACAATTTCAATAAAAGAAAAATGAGTATGTTATTTAAGGTGCAAGCTCCCCAAAGAAAATTCTGTGAGGATAAAGGAGGGTAACGTGGTAACATTATACACCTGAACATGGTAAGTTTTACATGACTGATCAGATTAGATGAATTTTTAAATTTAATTGACATTTAAAGATAGTTTTCTAAGGCTGTTAAAAGTGTATGTTTAACACTGTTGATGTTTTCTTTAACAACCCACTAGGAAAAGGAGGTAAAAACAGACGTAGAGGAAAGAATGAGAATGAATCTGAAAAGCGAGAGCTGGTGTTCAAAGAGGATGGACAAGGTAAGAGGCCAGATAAGTTGGGCTCTTGTTAGATTTTTCTATTTGTCTGTTTTCTTGTGTTGGGGACCAAACATTTTCTGACTTTCCAAGAATAATTCAGCAAGGATATCACTACCATTTAAAGTGATTGTACTGAAGATTCCATGAGATTGCTCTAAAGATTCAAAGAGAGAAATAAGGATACAAAACAGGTAAAGATCTCAGTGTGAGCTGTATGAGGTATACTGTACATACTAGGACATGGCACCTTTGATCTATAGGAGTAGTAGTCACCAGGGCAGTAGTCAGTCTGTCTCCTTACTGAAAACAAGTAGATAATTAAAACATGTAATAACAGACTCAGGTTGTTATATTACAAAGTATTATTTCTGGTTCAACCATTAACTAGCCAAGTGTTTAGCTCCCTTCTATTTATTTTATATTTGCTGTATGTATTTTTATCCCTAACTGGTGTAGCCACATGTTGTTGTCAATCTTCAATGGATATACAAAGTTGATTTCATCAAAAAAGCAGTATTTCATCTTTTTTTCTCCCCTACCTCATCCATGTAGAATATGCTCAGGTAATCAAAATGTTGGGAAATGGACGATTAGAAGCAATGTGTTTTGATGGTGTAAAGAGATTGTGCCACATCAGAGGGAAATTGAGGAAAAAGGTGAGTGTGTGGTCAGAACATTTATTTTATTCTACTATGAAAGTGTTAAGGAAGGTAGAGGAAATGTCTCTACCTGGGTGGATGTGTGTGTGTGTTTTGCAGGGAAGCCACCTCAGGGCCTTTTAGCAAGTTAAGCACAACCACACTAGCAAATATAATTTGAGGGACATTCTGAAAATGGATAACCCTGGCTTTAGAAAATGTTGATGTGACCAGTCGTTGGTGGCACACACATTTAATCCCAGCACTTGAGAGGCAGAGGCAGGCGGATCTCTGAGTTTGAGGCCAGCCTGGTCTATAGAGCAAGTTCCAGGACAGGCTCCAAAGCCACAAAGAAACCCTATCTCAAAAAATCAAAACAATAAAAAAAAAAAAAGAAAGAAAGAAAATGTTGATGTTGGGCTGGAGAGATGGTTCAGCGGTTAAGATCACTGGCTGCTCTTCCAGGGGACCTAGGTTCAGCTCCCAGCAACCACATGGCAGCTCACAGCTATCTGTAATTCCAGATCTAGGGGATCTGACACCTTCACACCAGTACACATAAAATAAAGTTTTAAAAAAAGGAAAAAAATGTTTATCTTATGAAAAAAAGAAAGGACTGGAAAAGTATTCCAGTTTTAAGGAGCACTAAAGGCTGGCAAATGGCCTTTTGGGTTCTGGGAAGTCCCAACTCTTGAGTGATAGTGGGGTTCGGGGTAAGAGTGTGTTTTAGTGATATCAATCCTTTACAAGGAAAATGGTTGTGAAAACTGTATACATCTGGGTGGGTAAAAGACAAAAAGAGAGACTTAGAAAACCACAACATTTTCTGTTTTCATATAGATAGCCAAGTGAATTGGGAATTCATCTGTTTCAAAGTGAATCACCTGGAATTTCTTGATTCTACTTTATTTAAGATATATTATGCAGGGTCTTTTCTTTTGTAGGTTTGGATAAATACCTCAGACATCATATTGGTGGGGCTTCGAGATTACCAGGTAAAAATTACTTCTAAATTTGTTCTTGATTTACTTGAACTTGATGAGCCATTTCCTAATAGCCTGTTGTATTTTAGGTATTATGCTTGGTGTCCTTGGAATTATGGTTCCCAAATACCAATCTAAGAAGTCAAACATTAGTTTTTATAGAGCAAAAATGGTCTTCTTATCTTTACTATTTGAAGTTTCTGCTTGTAGAATAAATGATACAGGGTTGGGAAGATGGCTTAGTGGTTAAGAACACTGTCTATTTTTCTAGATGACCTAGGTTCAATTCCCAGCACTCACTCAGTAGCTCACAACTGTCTATAACTCCATTTCCAGGGAACCTAACACCATCACACCAATGCACATAAAATCAAAATAAATGAGAATACCTGGTGGGCGTTAGTGGCGTACTCCTTTAATCCCAGCACTCAGGAAGCAGAGGCAGGCCTGTTCTACAAAGCTATTTCCATGACAGGCTCCAAAGAAATACAGAGAGACCCTGTCTCAAAAAAACCAAAAGAAAATTACAAAGACAAATTGCCATCAAGGCAGCTACCTAAGCCTGATGATCTGAGTTTAGATCCCCAGAATGTACGCAAAGGTGGAAGGAAAGGATTAGTTCCACAAAGTTGCCCTCTTACGTCTACATGTATCCAGTAACCACAGGTATACAGTAATACCGTTTTTAAAGAAATAGATAAATTGGTGAAGTTATGTAATAAAGGCAATACAAGGAAAGATTTGTTTGATTCTCACAGTTTAAGAGTACAGTTCATCATGGTGGAGAAATGACAGCAGGAGCTGGGGTAGCTGGTCTCCCTGCATCTGTAGTCAGGAAGCAGAGGGAGATGAATGAATGCTAGTATTCATCTTGTGAGGTTTTTTTTAATTCAGTCCATGACCTCACCCTATGGACTAGCACTGCCTGCATTTAGCATGAACCTCCCTATCATAATAAACCTAATCTAGAAACTCACTCATAAATAGACCTAAAGATTTGTTTTTGTTGGACTGGGCAGTGGATCTCTGTGAGTTTGAGGCCAGCCTAGTTTATAGAACTAAAATAAACCTAAAGATTTATTTTTGTTGGACTGGGCAGTGGATCTCTGTGAGTTTGAGGCCAGCCTGGTTTATAGAGCTAGTGCCAGGACAGGCTACAAATCTACAAAGAAAAAGCCTGTCTCAAAAAACCAAACCCAAAAAAAAAAAAAAATGTTATTTTTGTTGTGATTCTAAATCCTCTCAAATTCTCAAATTGACAAGATTAATAATTATTATAGTTACCTTAAACATATATGAAAGGGCATATTTATTTCCTTAGAGCAGGGCTGGAAAGATGGCTCAGCAGTTAAGAATGCTTGCTGCTCTTACAAAGGAGCAGAGTTTGATTCCCAGCACTCACATTAGGTGGCTCCCATCCACCTGTAATTCCAGTTCTAAGGGATCTGATGCCCCCTTCCAGCCTCCACAGGTATATTTGTGTATGTATGCATACAGTTTTTAAAATCCTCAGGTTGTGATAACAAATCTCAGTCTTTGGCTTTCAGTGTGTAAATTGTAGTTCCAGGGGGTCATTTGTGCTTATGATAGAAGGGTAATTATAAATAATATAAAAGATGAGATATCTTTCCTTGTTTTTTAACTTTATGTGCATTAGTGTTTTGTCATGGGTGCCTAGGCCCCTGAATTTTTAATTGTTGCTTAGTTAATGTTACTAAAACTTCCATTTGAGTTCATCCTAAGGAAAGTGATAAAGATTTTTATAGCAAAGCATTGAGATTTGATGTTTTGTTTATTTGCTTTGGTTGGTTTTGGGTTTTTGGTTTTTCAAGATAGGGTTTCTTTGTTGTCCTGGCTGCCCTGGAACTCACTCTATAGGCTAGACTGACCTGGAACTCAGAGGGCTGGTTGCCTCTTCCTTCTGGGTGCCAGGATTAAAGCCCTGCACCACCACTGCCCAGCTAGAGATTTGATTGAATTTGAAAGTAATGAATGACATTACAGATAACAGTGTGATATAATCAGATCTAATTGTTTTTGTTTTAAGGATAACAAAGCTGATGTCATTTTAAAATACAATGCAGATGAAGCTAGAAGTCTCAAGGCATATGGCGAACTTCCAGAGCATGGTAATGACCGAGTCACCATTAACTTTCATATGGTTTTTAGGTTATCTACTAGTGTTTAGGCAGTGAAATTCTGTTGCTCCTGTTTATTTTTGTGCTTACATGATTGTAATTTCTCTTTAAATCCACTCTTACCAGAACAGAATTTTAGTAACTTCTTTCCTATGGTAGCTAGTATGAAACACAAGCAGGTATACTTAACTCTAGTATCATTTCTACCTTCAAGAAAAACTGTTGATGCAGTGCAGTTGTGACCACCTTAGAGTACACAAAGACCTGGGTTGGGTGACTAACACTACAGAAAAACATCCCTCCAAGTATCTGCCCTTGTTTGTCTGTTTATATGTGTAAATAGAAGGGGTCGTGATTAAGTAGCATGGATGTTTTCCCCCTCAAAATATAATTTATCTATAACCTTATCAAAGGGAAAATAGAATGTATACAGTTTTATAAATCAGAATTTTTTTACATAGCAGTTACTCTTTTTAAAAAATTTGCCTCCATTTTCTCATGAAAACATGACTTTGTAACCAGTAAGGCCCTACTGCCTGGAATGGTGGCACATGCCTTTAATCCTTGCATTCAGGAGACAGAGGTAAGTGAATCTCTGAGTTCGAAGCCAGCCTGGTCTACAGAGTCAGATCCAGGACAACCAGAGCTGTTACACAGAGAAACCCTGTCTCAAAAACAAAAAAAAAAAAAAAAAAGAGGTGTTGCTGAGAATTATAAACTTGCCCTTCTAATCTTGGAGATGGTTAAAAAAAAATGGGGGTGGAGTAGCATGGTTGGTTCCTTTTCATTCCTTAGTGGAAAGTATGATGTGCCCCGATATTTCTTTCTAATTAATGATTGATGGGAATCAGTTGTTCTTTTCTTAGTCTCTTTCTCCCTCTCTCTTTCTTTCTGTATAGTTCATTTTGATGAGGTGTTAAGTTTTCTGAACACTTGAAACCATCCCAGTGATGACTTCTCAAATCTTTCTCCCTTCTAAAGAAACTTAGTTTATCTTGTATTTTGTCTTTTTGAGATAGGAACTAAAGTTAGTATGTATACAAACTTGTGAAGCATACCTAGGATGTAATTGCTTCAGAATTAGTATAATTAAACCTTGACGTGCTAAATAATAGCCCTGTAAACAAATGAAAATCAAAATACTCTGTTTTAATATTTTGCTTCATATAGCAAGATTAGTAGAAAGTTGGAAGACAGCATTTTGATTTTTATATATATGTGTGTGTGTGTGTGTGTGTCTATATATATATATTTTTTTTTCTTTAGCGAAAATCAATGAAACTGATACATTTGGTCCCGGAGATGATGATGAAATTCAGTTTGATGACATTGGAGATGATGATGAAGACATTGATGATGTAAGTAGATACAGTCTGTTTTTTCTGGTTTTTGTTCATGTGTTACATACATACAAAGATAGTAGCCCTTTCCCTTAAGTTCTTATAGTACTAGGAATGTAGAACATTTAAATGAGCATATATATTTAGGGGTGGGGGAATATGAAAGTTAAGGCACTGTTCAGAAAGAGGAAGAAGATCAAGGTGAAGAGATAAAAGAATAGTAGGTGGTTATTGGATAGAGGCAAAACATGCGTGCACGTATGAAATGTCACAATAAAAATAATTATTTAACCCAATTAATACATATAAATAAAAGTGTATTTTGAGACTTAGCCATGGGTTAAATCATAAGAATTATTTAGAGGTCAAACTGATAGCAAGGTATAATAACACATACCTGTAATTCTGGTAATTGGGAGGCTGAAGCCATGTGATGCTGCAAGTTTGAGGCCAGCCTTGGTTGCAATGCCAGCAAATACCAGGCCAGCTGGGGCTACCTAGCAATATTTGCACCACACCCAGCTTTCAACATAATACTACCATAACAAAACATTTTAGGAGCTGGAGAAAATGTTTTATCAGTTAAAAGTGTATACTGTTCTGGTGGAGGACCCAACTTTTCCTAGATCACACATCAGACAGCTTATAAATGCCTGTGACTCCAATTCCAAAGGCTCTGAAGCATTTTTCTAGCCTCTGTTAGCAAACACACATGCATTTATTATATGTGCATTGATGTTTTGCTTGCACATATGTCTGTGTGGTGACATCAGATCCCCTGGAACTGGAGTTACAGGCAGGTGTGAGCTGCCATGTAGGTCCTGGTCCTCTAGAAGAATAGTTGATGTTCTTAACTGCTGAGTAATCTCTAGTCCCACTAGTTACACTTAAAAAAAATATTAGCTAATAACCATCTGTAACTCCAGTTCCCAGTGGATTTTATGCCTCCCTCTGGCCTCTGAGGGCACTAGGCTCAAATGTGATACACACAGAAAATAAATTACATTTTAAGGCATACTCCCACAATAGAGAGTCATTTTTTAGAACATTTTTAAACATAGCTTTCTTTGAGGATCTTGAACCTAGCCAAAAGCATTTCCTCCCTTTTTATGTTGTAGCTTAGTAGTACTTGCCTAGCATGTACAAGGCCTAGTAATTAAAATAGAGAGGAGGAGAGGAAAAGAAAAGAATAGGAAGCCAAATAGGAAGCCAGGGGTATATTAAGGGGAGGATGGTGCTGAATTTATGTCCTCCTTTTACAATATCTTCGTCTATTTTGTCTTTTACTTAAATGTAGTATGTGTGGGTTGGGTGCCCATGCAGACCAGAAGAGAGCATCAATCAGATCCTCTGGATTTGGAGTTAAAGAAAGTTGTGGTCCACCCAATGTGGATACCGGTAACAAAACTTTGCAGTAGCAGTACACAGTTTTAACCAGTGGGCCATCTCCACCCCAGAATTCACATTGTAATGAACATTATTTTGAAACATTTGTTTATTCTGTTTGTATGGATGGATGGACAAGTACACTCGTGCTTAAGGCATACATGTAGAAGTTAGTTCATATGAATTCCAGAGAGCCTCAGGACATTTCTTGGTTGTTTTTGTTTGTTTGTTTTAAATAAGTTTGTTGTGTCACCTTAGAACTCAGCTTTTTCCCTTGGTAGATATTTATTTCTCTGCCAGTTTTTTAAGTGTTAATAGATGTTCTATCTGTACTTCTCTAACCAAATACAAAGAAAAGGATTGAAGATACACTTAACTAGTTTTTAAAAAGGTCATGTTCCCTCTGGCAAAGTGGCTCAGTGGTTAAGAATGCTTATTGCTCATTCAGCAGAGGACCCTGGTTTGGTTCCCAGCACCCATATGAGCAATTTCTGCTCTAGGAAATCTGACATCCTCTTCTGGCCTCCACTGGTACCAACATACATATGTGCAAGCACAGACACAAAAACTGAAGCCTTATTTATTTAAGAAGTGAAATGTAAAATAAAATCTCAAATAAGCAATGCAAAAGGAAGGAGACAGCAAACCTAATTAAGAATATTCTCAGGTGCTGGGGGTGGTACACTCCTTTAAACCCAGCACTCGGGAGACAGAGTCAGAAGGATCTGTGTGAGTTTGAGGCCAACCTGGTCTTCAAAGTAAGTTCCAGAACAGCTACACAGAAGAATATTTGGCTAGACTAGAGAGCCTGCTGGATGGTTAAGAGTGCTTACAACTGTTGCAGAGGACTTCAGTTTGGTTCTCACAGCTGCCTATAACTACAGCTCCAGAGGTTCAGTATCATCTTCTGACCTTAGTGGGTACCTTCACACATAAATATAATGTGTATCATATAGAATATTATGAGGTCAGAATTTCTGCAAGTGAGCTACAATAGAAAAATGCTTACTTAGGTAATTTTTGTATTGACACTGGGTTGATTTCCAATATAGCCTGTGACAAATTTCACTCATGCAGAGTGTTAGGATGTAAGAGTTCTTTTCTCCTGGATTGGTTCAGTGTAAAGTGCTTACCAAACACCCTGAGAATCTACATTCAGCTCCACAGCACACATAAAGCTGGCTACAGTAACTAAACCTAGTGCTTTTATGGCAAAGTCAGAGGTGGAGACAGGAACCTCTGGAAGCTTAGACCAGCTAGCCTGGTAATACCTAAGTGTGAACAAAAAAATACAATTTATCAAACAAGGTGGAAAAGTGTGAGGGCCAACACCTGAGGTCCTCTTCCTGCAACCCACCTAATACACACCACACTCACAGTAGTCATGTGAATTGGCACATTCATGTAAAGGAACTTTTTAAAAGATTTTTTTAGAAGTATTTTTTTTTTTTTTTCTTTGACTTAATGTTCTTTTCTCTTTCAGATCTAAAATGAGCTCAACATGTTACATTCCGGTCCTTCTGAAGATTGCCCTACAAATTTGAAATCTGGCCAGTCATAGACCTCAAGGAAAAGTTTTCACTCTCTTGATTGTAATTTGTTGAGGCAGACTTGATTCGATACTAAGATCGCTTCTTTCAAAACTGATAATATCTTAAGTGATATGTTAAGCCCACTTTCTTTGTTCATTTGATGTAACAGAACTCAAAATCATGATCATGTAAGAAAAAAAAATACTGCCTTTCCTACTTTGACCACTTCCAGTAAGTAAATGGATGTTTTGAATAAACCATTTGCCTTGTACTCATTATAAATCATGATTAAGCCCTCCTTTTGCATAGCTGTTGACTGTACAGTCTTTGTGTATATTCCAGTTGCCCAGAGATTTTGATACAAATGGAGGCAGAAAACTGTTTTTTTGTTTTCTATTTTGAGACAGGGTCTAACTTTGTATCTGAGGTTAGCTTGGAATTAACTATAGTCCTAGTGGACCTCAAACTCACTATGATCCTCCTTTATCAGCCTCCTGGGTGCTGAGATTATATGTGTGTACTACTATACCTGGCAGAAATCTATTTAAAGGCAAAAAATGAGGTCTGCTTTGCATATTTAATTATGTGGCTATTTTTATACTAGTTTTGATAACATGTAAGTTCTTTTCATGATTTTGTTTTGCAGTCATCAACTTACTGGGGGAGGAAAGGCATTTCCAAAATGTTTTAGAAAATTGGCTTTTAATGCCAATTTTGAATTAAGGTCAGAAGTTTCAGAAATTGGACACTAGGTGGTGCTCAGTTGTCTAAACATTAATAATACTTTTTTAATTATTGAGATGGTTTCTTTTTTCAACTAGTGTGAGTAGGAAATCCCTAAACAAAGAAAAAACTGTTTTACTCATGTGCATAGAGTATTTTTACCAAAAAGATTGTGTTGAAGTGTTGCTTTTTTCAGGAGTCTGACTCACATAAGCTACAATTCTAAGTGCTTTATAAACACATAAGATATAGGCAAGTGAAGATTTAAGTTCATAAGAATATGAATGTTATATAACAAAAGTATAAATTAATGCTTTTTAAGGCTTTCCCTAAACTGAGGGGGAAATGAGGGGATAATAAACATAGCCTGATATAATGACATTACCTGTAACCCTGCACTTGTGAGGTCCAGGCAGGAGGATCAGGAGTTCAAAATACAAATGTAGTGAAAAGATGTTTTCTTATTTGTGAATCTAAGAGCTGTAGCTGAAAAAATAGCATGCTGCAGAAAACATTATACTCTGACTTTACATTAGGGACAAGTTTATTCTGTAGACAGTCTGGGGAGGGTCCCAGGGATCCCATTTTCTTTTTACAGGGAATTTGGGTGTGCTATTATTTAGGAGTTACCATTGCAGTTAGAGCTTGGCTAGTCAGAATTCACTGTACACAGTGAAAACATGCAAGTTTAAAACCAAGATCCATCATGCAGCTTATGGACCTTGTACTCTACTAGCATCAGAAAACTTTTCATTAATGAAAAGGAATGCATATTACATGGTTCCAAAAAACAGGATCTTCTCTAATCCCTTTCTTAACTATGACTTCATCTCAGGTTTTCCTACTCAGCTTCAAAATCTGAGGTGCCATAACAACAGTAGAAAAGATGAAGTAATGTATTTTTTATTCTGATGAGTTTCTTAGTGATTAACTAGGCAGAGTGTATCTGAGACCAAGGGCTGAAAAGCCCTTGCTAAGCAGTTGTCTTCATAAGTAATTAGACCTTTGGACCTTAAAAGTGTTTCACCAGCTGGATATGGCATACACCTGTGATCCCAGCATCGGAGGAGTTGTTGAATCATGGCCAGGGTTATATAAGATGATGTCTCAAAACAAAGACCATTTTTACTAAATTTGTAGTGTGTGTAGTTATGCATTATTTTATGAGCAGTATTTTAACTCTACATAGGTGATACTGCTCAAAAATTGGTATTCTACTTCCTGTAACAAATAGTATTTGAGGGGTTTTAGAAGTTATACATGACCCTGTTACTGTAACTTCTGGTGGTTATATCTCTTTTCTTGCCTAAATAGTAGCAGCATTAATGAGTGTTCCTGTATTCCAGATGATCGGGAGTCATACTGGTTTAAAGTAGCTGAATACAGTTATCACTTGTATGCAAATGCTACCTGGAAGAGTTCTTTAACATGTATTTGGTATGGGAATTGAATAACTGATCAGTGTATTGCAAATAAGGAATAGAAGTGGTCTTCAAGAATTTTTTTTTTAATTTTTGGTTTGACTCCTATAGTACAACTCTATAAGTAATGCCCAGAAAGGAAAATAAAATGTTTGAAATCTAAGAATAATGCTATTTTGTTTTGTAGATGGAGGTTGTTTTTGTTTTTTGTTTTTTGTGTTGTTGTTTTTGTTTTTTTTTTTTTTTTTTTTTTTTTGAGACATTATCTCATATACCCCATACTGGCCTTGAAATACCAACAGCTGAGGCTGGCCTTGAATTTCTGATCTTCTGCCTTTACCTCTCAATTGCTGGGGTTACAGCTGTGTACAAACATACCCAACTAGAATAATATGTCTTCCACTAACTTGGTGTAGCAAGTTAATGCTAATCAGTTTGTTAGACTCACCAAGCTCTTGGTCTGATCCTCAACACCCCATAAACCAGTTTGATAGGGTTGTGTTTTTCATGTAGTTTATTCCAGATAGAGCATGAGCATGGTGTGTTGCTAAAGTGACTGAGTAACCACACCAAGCGTCTGTGTAAAAAGACTTGCCAAGATTTAGTCGTTTGCCTGTTGAATCTTTCTTAACCATCTTAGGAGACTACAAAGCATTCATGACGGGAATTTTTATATTTTATTTGGAAAATAGCCATTGGTTTATTCATCCCATATATGGAACCATAGCTATAAGTTGTTGCTGAAAAACTTTGTGACTTGTAATGTTTCTTAATATCAATTGTCTTAGTAAAATTTAAATTACTGTGTTGAACAACATCTTTAATAGGTAGAAATTGACACTGTTGACTGCAGAGTAACTGAGTAATCAAATAGGTAAAAGCATGTTTTAAATAGCTAGATTTCTACTCAATTTGTATTCTGTACAGATTTAATGATGTCCACAATAAACTGTGGCTTTACAGTTTATAAAGTATCAAAATGAAGACAGCTCTGTAAACCTGCCTTCATAAAGATTAAAAAGAGTTGTATCAGTGTGTGATATATCCTGTTCAGTAAGGATAAGTTTCATTTATGTAATACCTTCATGTTTGTGGTTTATCTTAAACCATCATTTCCCATCCTTGTTCAGAAAAGAACAAAATCTCAATTTTAAGTTATATTACAAGTATAAGTAAACACAGGCTGGGTGTGGTAGTGACTTACAACTTTAGTCCCAACACTTGGGAAGCAGAGACAGGTGGATCTCTGTGAGTTGGGAGATCAGCCTGGTCTACAGAGCGAGTTCCAGGACAGCTAGGGTTACACAGAGAAACTCTGTCTTGAAAAACTAAATATAAAGCAAGTGTAAGTAAGCACTATACTGAGCAATTGAGACACTGTACTGGACACCTCTACCAGATTTTTTGAGGACAATGTGCTAGATAGAGAAAAGGAAGAACATAGGTTCTGGGGTCAGTTGTCCTGTACCCCAATCCCCAGTCAATTCTACCAAGTATCCACCACTACCTTTCCAGCTTGAGTCAGCTTTTCAAGCCGGGCATGAGAAATAGGGAGGATAACGACACCTACTGTAGAATTATTGAAGGGTTAATAACATTCACATGTGTGACACACTTGTCTGCTTTTCACATGGAAACCCAGGACCATGTAAGACAGAAGATGCATGTCTCCTGTGTTCACTGTGTACCATATCTTGCTTGCAGTCTTTAATTACTGTGATAAAAGGAATGTGTAGTATGTATGTTTGTGTTGTGTGGACACTGCAGTTGCTACCACGCCATCCTTATTTAATTTGGCAGGTGGGAGTCTCTAAGTTGCTTGCAGCTATTTTATGGCATTCTAACAGCTCTATATTTCTTCAGAGAAAGTTTATAGTTACTAATAATGCTGGCTGTGGTATTGTGTCATTTTTATGCTTTAATGAGTCCTTTTCCTATAGATTCCCATCATGTGGAACAATGTAAAGAAATCATATGCAAACTACAGCAATTAGAAAATAAAACAACAAAAACAACCCAAGAGTGTATATAATTGTTTTTTCCTACTAACCTTTTTAACTACTTAGATATTAAAGATGATTCTTTTCTGAAATTTTGCAGGTTTTTTTTTTTTTGAAACAAGTGTGATGGACTAGAAAAAGGTACACTTGTATAATTTAGCCATTTCCTTTTTTTTTTTTTTTTTTGGTTTGTTTGTTTGCTTGTTTGTTTTCAAGAGACAGGTCTCTGTGGCTTTGGAGGCTGTCCTGGAACTAGCTCTTGAAGACCAGGCTGGTCTCAAACTCATAGATCTGCCTGCCTCTGCCTCCCGAGTGCTGGGATTAGAGGCATGGACTACCAATGCCCGGTTAAATCTGATTTTGTTTGAACTGAATGGATGCATTTTATCAATGCTCAGTGAAAACCTGTAGTGACGAAGGCAATATTAACAGTAAATCAATTGTCCAGAATAATCTCAAACAATAAAACCTAAATTTCTGGCCAGCATGTTGCTCTTTACTCTGGTCTTGTGGGGAGTGAGTCAGGTAAGAGAGGATCTCACTGTGTATCCCAAGTGGACCTTGAATTGCCAACATTCCTGCCTCAGCCTCCAAGGCCATGGGATTACAAACATACACCACTCACCCTCCCCCAGCAAGAGGTCCAGACCAGAAAGTTTCTGAACTTCAATGTAAACTCATTTTCTTTACTGTGAGTTGGCACAGATACTGACTAGGTATCTGGACTTTATTCCCTAAGTACCAAGCAAGCAAGCAAAGTCTGACACTGCCTGGAAATTTGTCACATCTCACAAACTGAATTTGTTCCCAAGGTTGTACCCCACCTCGCACAGGTGCAGAATATACACCCCAAGGTTTTTTTTAACTTTCTAACAATAGGCCATATAATTCAGGGTTCTCAAACTCCTTTTTGGCTTTCAGGGGATTCTGGAAAACTTTGCATGTTTATTATAAAGGTTACTATTTTAATTTAAGAAAGGTGCGTGAGGAGAAAGATGCCATGTGACAGGGTTCAAGCAGAGGGTTGTTTGTTTGTTTTTGTTTTTAATTAGGGAAAGGAATCATAAAAGGAAGGGGGAAGACCAGCCTCCAGGGACAGAAAAAGAGGGAGAG